GCATGATTTGTTCAGAATATATACTACTTTGAATAATGTAAATTCACTGCAAAAGATATGTAATAGGTATAAATGATGCATAAAAGTCATTTTTGGCATCATATAAGAAAAAACGTTCTTTATATAAGCAGTGCTGATGTGATAATTGTTTGTAGAAACAATCTTAGACTGCTGGTTATGGAATTGCTAACTTTATAGATTATTGAACAGTATTTTTTTACATGTTATACCTAATAAAACAACTAAAATCTCAAAAGTTGCTAAGTTGGCACTAGCAAACCCATATATTTTTAAACTACTGTAACGGAATTATAGAGGAATAACAGAACTATAAAGGAATAAGATACTTTTTAACTAAATTGTGCTAACTTGGCATTTTTAAAGAAAAAAGTAAAAGAATGACCCTACCCTATTAGTTTAAATTTTTATAAAATATATTAAGAATTTTAATGCAAATAGTTTTACATTATTTTGTAGATGTTTTTTAAATGAGAAGATGTGTTCAGTAAAAGTGTCTAGAAGTTAAAAAAAAGGATTTAGACCAATTTTTGATCAACACCTCCACTACCCTCTTGCCCTTTTTTCTATTAAACTTTTATTTTTGACTAAAACTTATCTAATTAGTTTAACCATAATAAAAAAAATATTGCAGCATTTAAATCTGTTTTAAAATAAATCAATTGCAAGAGTTAAAATCAAAACTTAGGGCTTTGTGGTGTATATAGTAATAATATAATATTTTTACTTATCACATAAAATTGTTTATATTTTGAATTATATTATGCTATTTTAAGTTTAAATCATTTTGTTTAAAAAGTTATTAGATAATGAATCAACAAAAGTATTTAAGAATTAAAATTATTATTCTTATTATTGAAATCATTCATACTGTTAGACTTGTTATTCTTGAAAAAAAATGAATATTAAAAAATAAATATAAAAAAATGAATATAAAAAAATTTATAAAAATGAACTTCTATTTCATTTTTATAAATTCTTTATTTTCAACATCGTTGAATTTTACCCTTCTATTAACAAAAACCTACTTATCGACTCCATGAACTTTGCAGAACAATATTTTACCTTTGATGCTGACCATATAAATCTTTAATTCTCCACACGTGTAAGTATTTATTATTTACCAATGACCAACTTTGTTTGATGTTACCATGGCTGCATTTGATGAAGCGGAGTGTGCGAGTTAGTAGGTATTTTTCTTCTTTTCCAGATTTTGCAATTTTATAGCAAATCTGATTTTAGATTATATAGAGATGATGGCTTAACCGTGTTTAAAAAGGCAAGTGGTCCAAAAATAAAAAAAATTAATAAGCATTTTACTCAAATATTTAAACAAAACAACCTCAGTATTTCCATTCAATCTAATATGAAAATTGTTAATTACCTTGATGTTACATTTAATCCTAACAACTGCAGTTTTCAACCTTACCATGAACCTGATAGTATGTTAAATTATATCCATGCTAGTTTCAACCATCCACCAAGCATTTTAAAACAATTACCAACCTTAGTTGAACATAGATCATCTTCTAATTCTTCAAACAAAAATTTTTTTCAAAAGATTGCTCCTATTTATAAAGATGCATTAGAAAAGTCTGGATTTCAAATCTCCAATATTTTTCAAAGAGTCATTCTATGCCAACTGGACCAAGGTCCAACATGGACCCTCTTAAATTTTAATGAAACTTAGTGGGTTTGTTAATATCAATGAGAAAAGCGATCCCTGATAATTTTATAAATACTTTTGTATTTATGCTGAAATTTTTGTATGAGATGGTCATTTGAAATTTCTGATTTTTTTAAAAATAAAAACTTCAGTAGCAAAAATATATTTTGTTCACACTTTGAAGCTTTATATTTTGAAATTTCAGAAAACCTTCTAGTTTTTTTTTATTGTATACAACTCTAAAAAAAAACTTTACTTTAATAAAACTTTGACATTGAATTCTTGAATGTCACATTTTTCCATAATGGCTACCTAAAAAACCGATAAAATTGTTTGCAAGTATAAAAAGTTGATTTTTGATGAGTCAATATACAAAACATGCAGTTTAAGAAGTGAAAACAAATATTTTTATATGTCTGATGTATGAAGTGCTTTTATGTATTTTTACACACTACTCAACATACTCATATAAAAAATTTAGTTTTTATATAAAACTTATCAATAACCTATTAGGTAAAACTGAAATAAAAGACTTTTAGTCTAATTTGCCAAAAATTTAATATCATGACTATAAATTATATAATATTTTTCCAATACATTCATTATTCCACCCTTCCCCATTAATTTGACTTATTTGATTATCATTTTCAAATTTAGATTACAACTTATACCATTTTATAAGAATTATTTGTCACAATCACAATGTACACAGTGCACAAGTTGATTATGTAATAAAGAATATTATTATTTAATAAACAATCAATTTAAGCATTGTATCTTTTAAATAATTTTTGCTAAAAAATGTTAAAATTAAATAATTCAACTTTATAATAATTTTGCTACGTAGTTAATTATGTTACTTATGCTATTGTACAATCAAATAATTAAGTTTTTTTCTTGAGCTGAAATGATTGACAATGAAGCAAAGATAATATAAAAGATAGATAAGTAAATGAAGAAATTCAGTTTTTTCTTGAGCTGATAGTTCATATCATTTACCAATTGTTGATTGAACTTTTAAAGATGAAATTTTGCATAAAATGTGTGTTATTGGAACGCAGCAAATATCTTTTTTATGTGGCCAAGTAAAAGTGTTTAAAGAAATAGATTTCATCACTAGCTTGATAAAAACATTTTTGTTTTCTTTAGATACTTCCAAAATATTGCCCAAAAACATTTTTGCATCATAAACACATTAATATACCATATATTAATTCCTTGTGAAAGATAAGTAGAACTATATGCTGCATTTTAGGTACTTTTACATTAGTATACATTGTCAAATGACACTTTTCTCATCTGTAAAGTAGATAATGATTGTGGTATAAAACAATATTTTTGTTCCTGGAATTGTTGAATAAGTATTTTAACTTTCTAATTTAAACTTTATGCAATGTAATACAATTGTGTAATTTGAAATGTATTGAAAATATATTCCTTTGATATTTTGTCTACATCAATCATACATTTTTCAGGTGAATTGATAGGATCTGTAACTGATATTAAACTAGGCTTAGCTACAAGTCTTTTGACAGAGCCCCCAATGCCATGGCAAGCACTCTTTCCATGTGATGCAGCGAAAAAATGCCATTCTTCAGATATTTTATGATCTAGTTCATGGTGACATATGTTAGATATATTTTTATAATTTTTTTGTATTGTGAACCAGCACCTAAAATAAATACTAAAATAAATGCAATAGGTAAAGTAATGCAACAACTCTTGTTTATTACTTCATAAATGAAAAAATGAACTGAGTTTGTATTGTGTTGCATATGATCTGAAATGATACAAATACTTTTACATTTTATGTAAAATATGATATCTTGGTAATAGTTATTTAGATGCTGCAAATATGCTGCTTGATTTTTGACTATATAATAGTGGTCTCCTTGTTGACAACCTTTTTCAATAAAATCATACTCAGGAAGAGTTACTGGAACTACATCATGTTTTTTTTTATGTGTTGGTATCTAGGCAGTTATTTTTTTGACACTGGTACTATCTTCCTATGATGGTTGCCAATAAAATCTGTGCCAATTGAATAGAATGCTTTCCAAGCAGCCAGTTGAGTCTTATCTAATGTGTGCTTGATGTTGTTGACTTTAGTAGCTGTTTTATATTGGATCCTATGTAAGTTCTTTCTCTGATTTTTGCCAAGCTCTATGCAGGAAATTTCTTAATCAGGTATTTGAAAGTCACATTTTCATTATCAAGGGTCTGTACCAGCTGCCTAATCAAACCTAATTTTGTGTGTAGAGGTGGGAATATCTCATTTTGCTAATCAACCAGAAGAAATTTGGCTGTGTTGCTTGTGCTCATTGTATATGTAATAGTAGTGCTCAGCATAATTTTAACTATTTCACACACAAATGAAACAATGTTGTGTAACCTGTCTGTAACCCTCTCAAAATGGCATTCACTTTGAGTTCTGCACAGATTGTTTATTTGCATATTATCAGCATATTGAATATATAACCTGTTGTTATAATAAGAGGCAAATATAAATGCATTAATGAACTTATAAAATGCATTAATACAGCTTTTGAGTGAATTTAACACTAATTCTTTTTTTCAGCATTTATCAGCGAATCAGAAAAATAAAGGTTTAGTGTTAAAACAATTAAATCAGCTCGGAGTCATTTAACAAAAAAAAGTTTGTTGTATGACTCCCAGCCATGCAAAGTATGATTTGGAAAATGGAGTTCACATTTATATATTTGCTTTCTTGAGGTTTTTTTTAGTGTTTTACAATGATATAAACCGTTATTGAGTTTTTTTTTCCAAGAACAATTGAATTTAAATGTATATACATATATATATATAATGTATATACATATATAATGTATATACATATATATAATGTATATACATATATATATAATGTATATACATATATATATATATATATATATATATATATATATATATATATATATATATATATATATATATATATATATATATATATTTGTGTGTGTGTTAATGAATTTTTTTTTTCCAAGAACAATTGAATTTAAATTTATATATATATATATATATATATATATATATATATATATATATATATATATATATATATATATATATATATATATATATATATATATATATATATATATATTTGTGTGTGTGTGTGTGTGTTAATGAATTTTTTTTTTCCAAGAACAATTGAATTTAAATTTATGTATATATATATATATATATATATATATATTATATATATATATATATATATATATATATATATATATATATATATATATATATATATATATATATATATACATTTATATTTATAATATATTAATTATAGGCTCTATAAATGGATCAACAGAAGACTTATTTTCTATTGCAAATAGTCTGCATTATGCAACACTTTTTAGTTATGATGATCCTTTTCAAATTTCAAGTCATGCACACCATAGTTCATTACCTCTGTTTCATGCACTTAAGCA